AGAAGAAAGAAAGAAAGAAAGAAAGAAAGAAAGAAAGAAAGAAAGAAAGGGCTTCCCTGGTGGCACAGTGGTTGAGAGTCCACCTGCCGATGCAGGGGACATGGGTTCGTGCCCCGGACCGGGAAGATCCCACATGCCGCGGAGCGGCTAGGCCCGTGAGCCATGGCCGCTGAGCCTGTGCGTCCGGAGCCTGTGCTCCATAACAGGAGAGGCCACAACAGTGAGAGGCCCGAGTACCGCAAAAAAAAAAAAAAAAAAGAGGGAGAGAGAGAGGGAGAGAAAGAGAGGGAGGGAGGGAAAAGAAAAGAAAAGGGAAGAAAAAAAATTAAAAAGACATCTCACATTCAGTAGCTAGAGAATTTAATTCAGCTTTTTCTTTTTAAGGTCATGCTGTCTGCAAGCAAGAGATCAGAATAATGATCCTTTGAGGACTCAGTCCTTGAATACATGCATAATGAAGCCTTGAAAGTAAAGACCAAAAAGATTAGCCTGCAGTTTTTTTTTTCTTAATTTACTGCATGTTATACAACCAGGTAATAAAATAATTCATATTTCTTAGTTATGAAAAATTACATATAGATGCTATTCCAAACACTAAAACCAAACCAGGGGCAATTAATAGGAACTGGGCTTGTTTTTCCACATTTCTCAAGGATATGTGCATTCTCATGGACATATACACAAGCAGATTCTGAACCCTTCCCTTGGTCTTCTGGGCTAAATAAAACTTAAGGCCTTGCATCTACTACCTGTGTTTTTATTTTATAATCAACACAAGACCAATGTCATCAGTTTATTCTAAAGTGGAACTCTCAAGATTGCAAAGAAGCTGGTCTAGTTTGAAGGGGTAATTTTCACAATGATATCTGGAAGAGTGGGGAGAGGGTATGGGCTTTGGAAGAAAAGAAGAAAAAGATTTAGACCAGCAAGTACAAGGGGACGAGTGTTTGCCATGTTACACTGAGATTCACACAAGAATACAGATTTTAGAAAAGATGCTAGATGACAGGATGCCAGGTCAAGGTGAACTGGAGCTCCTGTGGTCTCCTCAAGCTTCCAGCCTTTGGGATAGGCTTACAATGTTATTGCTATGGTCTGAATGTTTGTGTCCCCCCAAAACTCACATATTGAAATCCTATGCCCAATACTATGGTATTAGGAGGTGGGGCATTGGGAAGTGATTAGGTCACAAGGGTGGAGCTTTCGTGAATGGGATCAGTGTTTTTATAAAAGAGACCCCACAGAGCTCCCTAGCGCCTTCCACCATGTGAGGACACAGGGAGAAGTCAGCCATCTGCAACCCGGAAGAGGACCTTCACAAGAGCTCTACCATGCTAGCACCCTGACCTCCAGAGAGGAGATTAGTAGATGATAATTCAGTTCAGAGCATGTCACTTCAGGGCTTGAGACACTCATAGGATATCCAGCAGGAGCTATCAAGCAAACAGTTAAAAATATAATGTAGGGCTTCCCTGGTGGCGCAGTGGTTGAGAGTCTGCCTGCCGATGCAGGGGACACGGGTTCGTGCCCTAGTCCGGGAAGATCCCACGTCGCGGAGCGGCTGGGCCCGTGAGCCATGGCCACTGAGCCTGCGCATCCGGAGCCTGTGCTCCGCAACGGGAGAGGCCACAACAGTGAGAGGCCCGCGTACCGCAAAAAAAAAAAAAAAAAAAAACAAAAAAAAAAAAGTAGCTCATGGAAAAGTTTGAGGAAATTACAAAATCAAAAGAACAAGTTTGTTGCTTCTACTATAGCTATTAATAACAATCATTAGGAGAGCAGTGACTTGAAAAATGGGTTGGACATAGATTCTTTTTAGGAAGAATAACTCTGACAATACCATGAAAGAAGGAATGGAAAAGAATATAGAGGTGGGAATACTAGGTTACTGCAGACATCCATCTGGAGGCGGTGAGGGACTCAATTCAGAGAGTGGCCACAGGAATGAAGTGGGACGGTCAAATTTGAAATTCATTTTAGGGCAAAATATCTAGGATTTGACAGTGAAAAAATTGGGTTAGGATGTGAGAGAAAGGGAAGCATGAAGATGTCCCTAAGATTTCTAACTGAGAAGAACAGGTGGGTGGACATTATTAACCAGCCCAGCATAAGTCAAAGTTTTCCTTTGTTCCTTGTTCTTTCCTTTGTACTTATATACTACATGCCCCCTAGGCTCTGACAGGTTTCAAAGATATTGGGCCTAAAGATAATCCTGCTGGTCAGAAGAAAATAAATCACTTGCCTTTTTAAATACTTACAATTTCCAGTCCAAGAATAAATAGCTTGTAGTAGTTGAAAAAGAGATTTAATAAATCGTGTCCTGGGACTGAAAGTAGTGACTCACTACTAACAAATGATGATATTGTTTAGCTCCATCACTCATTACCTCATTAGTCTACACAGTGTCTCTTACAGGTCTCCACTTCCCTAAGTGGAAGGTAATGCAGATCGGCTCATCCAACTCTACTGTAGCCCATCCATCTCCATTTCACCCCACTTAGCATCCCAGAGGCTGAAGAGCTACAGACCTTTTGTCATTTGCCAGATTCCCTTACAGCTCTAGCTCCTTCCAAGGTTGAACTTCCACCAAACAAACCTAAGCACACAGGATTTGGAAGGCAGAGGCCATTCTGCCACCCGGGATACTTCTAGTAGCATCATTGCAGTGGTGGCATTTGGTTTTCTTGTCTTTTCTACAACAATAGTTGCAGAGGTCTTGTTATAGGTTGAATTGTGTTCCTGAAAAATGTTGAAATCCTAACCGCCAGTACCTGTGAATGTGACCTTTATATGGAAATAGGGTTTTTGCAGATAATCAATTAAGATGAGGTCATTAGGGTGCGTCCAATCCAATATGATTAGTGCTCTTATAAAAGGGGGAAATTGGGCACAAAGACAGACACACGAGAACATGAAAGTAAAGATCAGACTGATGTATCTACACGCCAAGGAATGTCAAAAGTTGCTGGCAAATCACCAAAAATTAGGAGAGAGGCATGGCACAGATTCTCTCTCACAGCTCTCAGGAGGAGCCAGCACTGCTAACAACTTGCTCTTGGAATCCTAGCTGTCAGAACTGTGACACAATACCTTTCTGTTGCTCAAGCCAAACAGTTTGTGACACTTTGTTATAGCAACTGTAGAAAACTAGTACAGGTCCCAGGTCTGGTTCCTAGTTTTGTGGGTGTTGAGAGTCAGGGAATGGGGAGAGGGGCGCATCCATACTGATGATGCACATTACAGCATAGTGGACTATTCCCAGAGCTATTAGCAGTTACAACTTCAGGGTTTTGAAATTTCCTTCCTTCTTCTCTTAAAGGCAGCAGCTACTCAGGCAGGCCAATTCAGTGGTGGCTCCTGAAAGTTCAGTCTAGAACCTGCTTCTGACTTCCCATTTCTTGAATTAAGTCCCTTTTTCTTAAACTAGGTTCATTGGATTCTGTTAACTATCTTGACTATAGGAAACCATTACACCCCAAAGAGATTCTAGCCCACAGAAAACAAACCAAAATTCTATGTTCTCTTGGGCAATACAGTACGTGGATCTATAACAAGTATGAATAAACCAAAGCAGAGTGAAAATAGGTAGTAGGTCTAATTGAAATTAGATCACAAACTAAAAAAAAAAAAACAAACAACTCTATTCCTTCTAGAGATTTCCATATTTGTAGGAAGAACACTGACCTTATTGCAGTAGTAAGCAGCTGGTTTTCCTTAACTAGGTAAAATGAGGGAAAACAGACAGAGAGAGGGGTGGGGTGGATAAGGATGGAAGTTATAAATATGGGCATAAACATTGTAAATTTTGTTGGTCAAATAAAATTTTGGCAGTCTTATGGTTTTGGAAAGCTCCTTTGGAGATTCTGTAATATAAAACTTCATAGAGAAATCAATCACTAAAAAACTCAGGCCCAGGGCTTATAAGATTTGTAGTGAACTCTTCATAAACAATGTGAATGAGGTACAAGGCTAAAACTCACAACAGTATTGTTAATAATCATAATAGTTAGAGTTAGTTGTTTTAAAAGCCATAGTGCTTCCCGAGTCTAGACCTTTACTACTCCAAATGGGGTAACTGAGTCCCAGAGAGGTGAGATGACTAACTCAAAGTCAAGCAAATAGTGGTCTGATTATTTGAAGGACAAATAACTAACTCTTTTTTTTTACTTTTTTTTTTTTTTTTTTTTTTTTTTTTGCGTTATGCGGGCCTCTCACTGTTGTGGCCTCTCCCATTGCGGAGCACAGGCTCCGGACGCGCAGGCTCCGGACGCGCAGGCTCAGCGGCCCAGCCGCTCCACATGTGGGATTCTCCCGGACCGGGGCACGAACCCGTGTCCCCTGCATCGGCAGGCGGACTCTCAACCACTGCGCCACCAGGGAAGCCCCGAACTAACTCTTATGAAAGAAAAAATTTGCTTTCTCAGTGCCCTCAGAAAGCATGTTTTAAGAGCCATGTCTATATTACATGCTAATAGATAATGCACAGAGAAGTTTGGGCAAAGTTCTGCTTATCTAATGCTGAGAGCACTGGCTCAGATGGACAGGTAAATCAAGAACATCAGATAGAGAATTCAGCTGAGCCTTCAAGGCCTAGATCAAATGCAGTCTCTGCCCTTAGCCTTCTTAGCCTCCCAGCACATGTCTGCCTCTGAATCCCAGGGCACTTCAGTCATTTCTCTGTTAGTGTATTTGTCACTTATTTTTTTGTAGCATTTACCTAGTGCCAACACACTGTTCCAGTGCTTTCCTCAAAACAAGCCCGTGTGATACGTCTTAGTATTATCCTCACTTTATAGATGGGGATCTAAGGGACAGAGACAGGAGGTCACTCTGCCAAGGTAGAACAGGATTCAAATCAAGGTGAGCTGGGACCACAGTCCATGTTCTAACCCCTCCCCTACAACCCTTCTACCATGTTAAGGCTGGAGGCTTCCACGCCCAACATTTTCTTCTACCCACAAGCTTACTGAGAGCGGATTTCACTCTGAGTCATGCATATATTCTAGAGAACATTTAAAATAGTGCCTGGGGCAGACTTAGAAATCAGATCATTAACTAAATAAATGAATAACAAATAGGTGAAGAAGGCATGAGGGCATCTAGGCTGAGACAGCAAAAATGCATCTGTGATACACACATTGGTGGTGATGGGGCTGGAGAAACACCGTCCTTTCTCTTTGGTCATTTCATTCCCATGTACTCCCCGCGTGCTACTTTCCTTAGGCTGCTGTGCTAAAATTTGTTAAAATGTATGAATTTTAGGGGAAATAACCAATTGCAGGATGAGAGCTAGCTCTTGATGAAACTCTGAAGAAGAAATGTGACTTTGCCGCTCTCTTTTTTCCCCTTCTGTTTTCTTTTTGCCCAATATGGGTGGTCCCCATGTGAGGTGTCCTGGGCTTCACTTGATGGGTTTGGAGAGGTCACCGCTAGGTCTCCAGGAAGAGAACAGTCTGACCACAGCAGTGGGACAGTCACCTTAAGGATCTACAGGTGTGTGCTATAAAATATATATCCACTCAGACATATGATTCAGCCCCACTCAAATGTTCCCAGTAGTTTAGATTTGAACATTTGATTTACCCTTCTCTCATAAACTGCCATAAAATCACTTTAGTGCATGACTCACTTTCTTTCATTTACTCACATTTCAGTGAATATAATTAACCTTGGCTAATAGCTCTCTTCACTAGACTGACTCAGGTGTTGTTAAAAGCAACAGGCTTACATAATAGACAGTGGAAGATGGAGACACGAAATGCAATTTGGCTCATATGTTCTAGCACTGAGATCTAACACATTCTTATGAATTCTAGCTCTTAGCTGGGAGGTCTCTCGGTCAAAAGCAGGGGCTCTGGAATCCAAGTCCCCAATTTTGGTCAGTCTCATGGTAGCAGTAGTTTAAGAACCAGCACCTGGGATAGAAAAGCAAGAAAAGGAATGGAAGTGTTTTCTTTCTATTATTATATTTTATAATAAATAGTCTGTTTGATTACCTATTTGGCTTTAAATTGCATGATTTGTTCCTCAAAAAGTTAAACACAGAATTACCGTATGACCCAGCAATTTCACTCCTAGGTATGTACCTAAAGAACTGAAAACAGGTATTGAAATCAATACACGCACTTGCATTTTCATAGCAGCACTATTCCCAGTAACTAAAACATGGAAAAAGCCCAATGTCCAACAACAGATAAATGGATAAGCAAACCGTGGCATATATGCAGAGCCGAATGTTATTCAGTCATAAAAAGAAGTGAGTACTGATACACACTACAATACGGTGAACCTTGAAAACACACGCTAAGTGAAAGAAACTAGACACAAAAGGCCACATATTGTGTGGCTCCATTTATACAAAACGTCCAGAATAGGTAAATCCATAGAAACAGAAAACATATTAATGGTAGCCAGGGGCTAAGGGAAAGGAGAAATGGGGGAGTGACTGCTAATGAGTACCAGGTTTCCTTTTAAGGTGATGAAGATGCTTGGGAACTAGATAAAGATGACGATTAGATGAGATTATAAATGTAGTAACTGCCACTGAGTTGTTCACATAGTTAACTTTATGTCATGTGAATTTGACCTCAATTTTCAAAAATTGCATGTCTTCCCATTGAGATATTATTAATACACTAAATAAAATTATAAACTTACCATTCTTTTGCAAATCAGTATGGCATACATCCTATCATACAAGGATGATGTTCAAAATATTTAATAAACAGCAAGGAACACATGACCCCAATCAGAAATGACACCTCCCATGGGGCTTCCCTGCTGGCGCAGTGGTTGAGAGTCTGCCTGCCGATGCAGGGACACGGGCTCGTGCCCCGGTCCTGGAAGATCCCACATGCCACGGAGCGGCTAGGCCCGTGAGCCATGGCCGCTGAGCCTGCGCCTCCGGAGCCTGTGCTCCGCAACAGGAGAGGCCACGATAGTGAGAGGCCTGCGTACCGCAAAAAAAAAAAAAAAAAAAAGGAAGGAAAAAAAAAAAGAAATGACACCACCCATTAACAATTAGCCAGCTGACTGTCAGCCCTTTTTGGCCTTCAAGCAGAAAACCACTGAAGGATCATTTTCTCTATGAGCCACGCATTGCAGGTCAGCAAGCATGATCTCACTGACTCCTTACCAACAATTTGGACTCATTTTTAAAGGGAAATTTCTTCCATTTTGCAGAAGAAACTAAAGTTCAGTGAGACTAGGCAGTTTACTCAGGATCACATAAACATTAAATGGCAGAAGCAGGACTCACAGTCAGGAATCCTTATTGCAAACCAAGATCTCTTTACGGCACAAAAGTCGTTTTTCTCAAGACAACTTACATCTAAACAACTCAACTGCTACAGATTTTTGGAAAAGATATTGGCCCTCTGAGCATTCTCTCAGATATTTAAATTATTGAAAGAAAAGGGTAGAAAATATCAAATGAAGAAACAGACCAGATTTCTTGGCATAAGCTCAATGGTACAGTTACATTAATAAAAACTAGTATTTGACAATTTAGTATTTTGCAAACATATGTACCCTGGATATAAATGTAGCAAAAAATTACCCCCTCCCCTCCCCTTCACCACCAACTCTGATGATAGCAAAGTGTCCAGGGCAACCCTTCACTAGCAGGCAACCTGTTCAGTCACACAGGGCCCTGTGCTCAGAAGTTTCACGGTTTAAAGCTCTGCTGTTGCCACCTTGAAATTCTTAATCATTTTTGAACAGGAGGTCCTGCTTTTTTATTTTGCACCAGGCACTGCAAATTATGTAGCTGGACTTGCCAGCATCCAAATAATTTTAATCCTTATCTGACCTACTTAGAAGAGCTGTTATGAACATTGAATGGAAGTAATGTTATAAAATTCTTTACGGTTTATAAAGTATTTTCACATAAAAATTAGTCTTCTTCAGTTAACAGATTTGTGATTATTGAGATTCACTGCCAGGCAGCTCCTTGAGGAACATATTGCCCACCTAGACTCAGGTCTCCTGATGCTCAGGGAGGGATTCTTCTTGAAGCTTCTACTGCTGCCTTTGCAGCCTTCAGCAATACATTCCAGTGATGCCTCCCCAGCAGGGCCTCGTTTGCACCCTAAACCGTGTGAAGAACCCCTCACCCACGCTCACTGCCACTTACTCTCTGTCGTGTCACTCTGTTCATGCTCCTCATAGCACTGTCACCTCTGTCTGTAATTATTCCTGTCTTGTTTGTTCATTATCTGTCACCTTCACCGGAATGTAAACTCTACAAGGGCAAGAGCTTCTCCGTTTTCATCAGTGTGTATTTCCAGCACATGGAAGGCACTCAATAAGTCACTTCTTGAATGAATGAATGAATGAATGCATATCCTTTTCCAGTAGACCTGAGAAGGTTGCTTTCTGCACTGACTCTAAAGCACTGTGATGTCCTTTGGTCCCATGGTCAACGGGTAGAGTCTGTTGGAACGCATTGCTTTACAAATGTTTAACCATCAGCTTATTTATCTACCTACTCTGAAAATGAGATTCTAAACGATAATAAAAAATGGCTTTGGAATGTGCCCTAAGCCTACGGTGCACATGGTACAGAATGTTCTCAGAAGCAACAGGACTCACGGATAATGAGGCAGCCACTTCCCTGACTTTATGGCCTTGCCTGCCTGCTGTTCTCGCCCACAAACCTTTGCCTATATCCTAAATCTCGGCTGCCACATGTGCTCCACAGTTTCTACCCAGCTCCATGCTTAGAGCCCTGCTATTTTATGGAAAGAATGTAATTAACACCACCTACCGCAAACTTTGCTCCCGGCAGAGCCTCTGACCAAAGCAGCATTATTCCGTTCAGGCTGTGAATGCTAGACTGCTCCAGACGGCAAAGCTGAATCAACAGACCCTGGTAGGAAGGCTGGGTTTATTTCACAGCAGGTAGGAATGTGTAGCTGCAGCACAAACAGAAAATTTCTTTGACCTTCCCTGAGTTATGTGAGCATTTGCCATGCTTAATAAAATCAGGATCTATTAGCCTATTTGCTCCACACACAGAATTTTTGACCGGCAAATCTACATGTAGCTTTACCCATATGAATCAGTGTCATTTATACACACACACACACATTCTCTCAATACATACTCATTATAAAAAGTTCAAATAATGTAAAAGTGTATAGAATAATATCTAGGGTCCTTTATCCCATCCCACTCCCCTCCCTCAGAGGTATATTTTGAACATTTTAAAGTATAATATTTCTCCGTTAACATTTTAGAATATATTGTTCTGACACTCTTTCTGCCTTTAAAAACAGTTATTTAAAAACAATTATAAAAAGCACTTATAAAAACCTTTATTGACTTTAAAATGTGTATGTGCTCACATATTAACATTTCTGAAACTGAGCTGGCTTACATTTGATAGCTTAGATTTAATGAAACACACAGTTTTTCAGTTTTCAATTAAATGGTTCATGTTCGATGTATTGTTTTGAAACTTATTTTTCAAGAGAACCTAAATAATTTCTTGACACAATATTTACCACTCTTACTGCATTTATATCCATATCACTGTTTGCCATTTTCAAGCTGTAAAGTATATGGTTATAACTCTCGTGTCTTCAAATTGCTTCTAAATTTACTCCTGACCCCTCACACAGTGCCATAAACATAAGGGTCCAAGTCCTTTATAAAATTTGTTTGGGGATGAGATAAAGAATTTGGATCATACTCTTGGGAGCACCCTTGTAACCTGTAGCTAATATGCGTACAAAAATCTTTCCTCGGGCTTCCCTGGTGGTGCAGTGGTTGAGTCCGCCTGCCGATGCAGGGGACACGGGTTCGTGCCCCGGTCCGGGAAGATCCCACATGCCGCGGAGCGGCTAGGCCCGTGAGCCATGGCCGCTGAGCCTGCACGTCCGGAGCCTGTGCTCCGCCACAGGAGAGGCCACGACAGTGAGAGGTCCGCGTACCGCAAAAGAAAAAAAAAAAGCTTTCCTCATGCTGAGGGCAATCAGTGTGTCATTTGACTTACACACTGGTTTATTTATATTTTCTTTAAGCTGTGTATTTGGGAATGGTCCACCATGTCACACGTACATAACCTATCTGAGAATTGTGGGTTTTGCAACATCTCACCATTTTCTCATGATAGGAAATGGGGAAGTAAGGCATTTGCTAACTCCACTTCTGCTTTTGTCCACAATACCTAGCAAGTAACACTTTCCTTCCCATCCCATCCCCCAATTCATGAGCAGCCTTAGACTCTCCGGAGCTGGCCCAGGGGCTGAGCAGGGCTGGGGTGAACTCACGGAGACCACAGTCACGTTGAGTAAGAATGTAGAGAATGGGAGGACGTTGTCGTGCACTTGGACTGGCTCCAGCTCAGAATCAGCCTCCGAGAAGCAGGTTAGCTCTGGTCCTCTCAAGAGGGAGGTCCCAAAGGTTCAGATGAGGTTGGAACTCCTCAGGGACTCCTCGGTGCAGCATGGAACTAGATGCCTGGGGCCTGCCCTACATCTTGGTACTCTTAGGACTGAAGCCTAGACTTATTCCACCTCTGACATAGGAGGAGAATTGAGTGAGTGCCAAATGTTGCCTAGAATATGGAGTTCTGCAGCTGAAAGCTGATCCCTCAGCAAAAACAGCATCTCACCCTTTTGACACAGTAAGGCATTTACAATAGCCGCAGAGTAACTACTCTAATGGTCCAAAAGGACAAATGGGAACTTGGATTTTGAACCTGTGAGACCCGTCAGCATTCTCTCCATTTACCTTCATAGGAAGGAGGCCCTGCAGTGGCTTTTGACCCAATGGCCTGATCTCCAACTGTCATATAGCCAATCAGAGCCATGAATCTGCCACAAATACCCTAGGTGCCATCTACCTCCAAAGAGACCCCAACTTGATTCACCCCTTGCCATCCCTCTGCTACCCCCCAAATCCAAGCTGTCATCATCTCTCACCTAGGTTATTGCAAGAGTCTCCCGAAAGCTTCCTTGCTTCTGCTATTATTTTCCACCAATCTATCTCCATATATAAACCAGTGTAATCTTTGAAAACATCAATTTCCTACATCACCTCCACCACACTCCATTGAAGAGCCTGTGCTCTTCTACTGCACTTAGAATAAAACCTAAAGTCCTCGACCTGAACAAGTCTCCATGCACTGACCTCCCCAGCATCTCCTCTTACACATGATATTCCAGACACCAAACTAGAACACGCAGAGTTCTTTCCTGTTGCAGTAGCTGTTGCCTCTGCCTAGAAAACATTCACTGCTCTTCTGAGCATAACCTACTCCCTCTCATCTCAAACTCTCCACTATAACCTCACCTGCTCAGCACAGCCGTCCCTGGGCACCTGCCTCAAGCCCCCTCTCCCCTCTCCCATGGGGTGCCATATCACCCCATTTATTTTCTCCTTTAAGGCCTCTTATTATGCTCTGTAATTATCCTATATGTTTACTTCTGTCTTCCTATATGAACATTTAAACTTCTGAGAATGAGGAATGTTGTTAGTTTCTCCTTCACTTCCCCTTTTTTCTAATCTAGAATATTTCCTGAACAATTCTGAAAATTAATTAAAATTCATTGGGAAGTGCTGCATACCATTCAAACCCACCAGCCCAGGGTTGCCTGTGTCAGGACGTGGGGAAAGGTTGAGTGAAAACAGGATAAAGCAGCTGATCACAACCCAGGTGCCCATCAGCGTCACAAATCTGCAAGTACCCTCTGACCTGCCAAATCACAGTCTTCAGGGGCAGAGTGTGACCATCCTTGATTAGGAAGTCCCATGGGTGATTCTGCTGCATCTTTGTCTCAGCATGATCAGAAAGAGCCTTTCCTTTGCCTCTGGAGTCACCAGGGCTCACAGTGGACTGTCACGGGGTTGATAACACGTGGTCAGAGCAATGCTTCAACCATCCTGCCTTAGGAGAAACAGTGAACGTAGAGGTGCCCTGACGGGTGAGGGCAGAGCTCTCAGAAGTGATGTTTCGCCACAACTCAACCTTCCAGGGAAGCGTATGAGGCAACTCAGATCAAAGGGCTTTTGCAGGAGGTGTATGTGAGCAGTATAGGTGTGTGTGCCAGTGTGTGTGTTTAAAATAGCTCTTTTTACAAAAGTAAAATATTGTAGAAAATTTGGAAAATACAGAAAAAATATAAAGGAAACATTTTAGTACCAAAAAAGAAAATCACCATAGCCACTAATTCTTATACTGAGTGCTTACAATCTGTCAGGCATTTTCCTATATGCTTCACAGGTATTTATTTATTTAACTCTCACAACAAACCAATGAGGTGTTTTCCTCACCCATTTTACAGATGAGAAAACTGAGGCACAGGGAGGTTAGAAAATTGGCCCCAAAACATACAATCCTAGGATTTTAATTTAGCAATTTTCCTCCAGAACTCGCCTTCTTAACTACTCTGCAATAAATCTCTGTGTGGTTGTGTATATTTATATTTGTACAAACATACACACACGTTTATATATGTAATGGGGCAAAAAAATGGTTTAAATAGTAACAGCCTTTCCTCATCTTTCTATAGAGGGAGAAAGCTCATTTTTAGTTTACCTGCCAGATCTCTGAAAAATAAATACAATTTTTTAGATTCACTTCTTCCAGTTAAGGTAGTGATGATCTTCCTGTTGCCAGAAGCTGCATTTGCTTACTTGTTAAATCATGATTAGGTGTGTAATTTTATCAAATGTTTGTTCTACGACTGTAAAAGTAACCATGTTCCTCTCTCCCCTCCCACACCCCCTTAACCTGCTAACTAAGTTGGCTCCAGATTTGTTAGCTTGGCTGTGATTTTTTTCTAATCGATGGCTAAATTTTGGTTGCTGGTATTTTGTTTCAGAATATTGCCTCTATGTTTAATAATTTCTTTTAATAGGTTTCTTTTCTCATACCATTCTTGTCTGGTTTTGGTATCAAGGTTGTAATGGACTTAAAAAATGAGTTGAGGAGTGCTTCATCTTTTTCTCTTCTCTGAAAGAGTTTACGTTTGGAATTACTAACACCTTGAACTCATCAATGAAAATACTCTGGGCCTAGGATTTTGCTCACAGAAAGATTTTAAATTTTTATTCAATTCCTTTCATGGTGATAGCACATGTCAGGTTTTATTTTATTTGAGTCAGTTCTGATCATTTTTATTTTCCTAGGAACACATCTATTTCTTATAAGTTTTTAAATTTGGGGGCATAAACTTGTCTTCTCTCACTTATCTAATCGTGTAACGTTACATGTATAGTAACGTTCTTTTCTCTTTTTTTTTCCTTGACAAAGCCTGACAGTAGTTGCCATTTTTATTACTCTTTTAAAAGCAGACTTTTTTGATATTCTCATTTGTATCTTTGATTTCTGCTTCATTTATTTCTGTCTCTTCAACTTTCTTTGGGTTATTAAGTGAGTTTGTTCTTCCCTCTGATTTCTTAAATTGGATGCTTAGCTCAATTTTTTTTTTTTTTTTGCATTTCTTCTTTGTTAAAATAAGCATTTAGGGCTACAAATTTATCTCTCAGCACAATCTTACTACATCCCACAAGTTTTGACATATAGTATTTTATTTATTATTCATTTCTAAAATTGCCTAATTTCTATTAATTAATTCTTCCTTGACTGGTTTAGAAGTGTGTTTTAAACTTTCTGAGTGTATAGAACATTTTCAGTGATCTTTTTATTGCATTATAGTAAGAAAATGTGATAGGTATATTACCAATCTTTCAAAAAAAATTGAGATCTTTAAGGCCAAATGTATCCAGTTGACTTCCAAAAATGTCCCATGTGTGTTTAAAAACTGTAAGTTTCATGCCAATAACCCCACAAAAGTCAACTTCTATACCCCTGTACATGTTTTACTGGCCTTCAAGGAATTCCCATATTTTCTTACCAGTAAAAATTGCATTAAAGTAACATTTTAAAAAATATACTTTATCCAAAAATTTAACATATGCTGGACTAAGAAGGAATCTTGTTTTTGAAAATGGAAAATTTTTATAAATTTAAGATGAATTATTTTCTCTCTCCATCCCTCAATTTGACCTTGATTGTAGCACGGATTATGTTGTGTTATGATAAGATATTCAGAAGTCTGTCTCCCTCTTTTGATGTTAACAGCTTGGGGAAAATGCCTATGTCATACTCACTTTGTAAGCCCTCACTTGCCTGAAACATAGTGTTTTATTAATAGATTTCTCTTAAATCCATGAAATGTATTAATAGTAACCTTCCCTGCCAAATGGGTACATACTACTGCTCTCCTTATTACAGAGATGATTTAGGTCCCCTGAAACTGACTTCTCTTTCAGCCTCGCTAAACATGGTGTAACTGGGTGCACACTCCATAGAACCGAAATCCAAAAACCCTGAATACTTGTCCCCATTAATTCAATATGTAATGAACTCTTAATCTATGTGTAGTGCTGTGTTCTCAGTCAGCCACTGATATGCTGTTTGCCATTTTATCTTCTTGTTGGAGTTTTCATTACTCTTGTTTCACCAATAATACAGGAATGTTGAAGGGCGAGAGTGGTCTAAATCAGAGCTAAGGATCCATAACCCAACAGCCAGGAGAAATATGGGGTATTTTTTTACAGCAAACTGTGTTACACTTTAAAATTTTATTAAACAATTATAAGAGCCTATGAACCTAGTAATGAAAGCCATGAAATAGAACATTCACGTCTATTATAAGAGAGGATTCAGTGAATGAATAAAATACTCGTGTTTAATAACTTGCCTTGCACTCTCCAGTATAGATGAACTAGAATTATATAGGGAGAGAGATTAGATTGATAGGTATTTTTAAAGTGTCAGCTTTTCAGTTGGTTTCAGACTAGGATTTAAAAATTTAGTGTTTGAGAAGATTAAAAAGTTCTTATTTAGGGTAACTGAGACGAAGTGATTTATACCTAGAAAGAGAGAGAGAAAGAGTGAGAGAAACAGAGAGGGAGAGACAGAGACAGAGAGGGAGAGACAGAGACAGAGAGAGAACCATAAGCCTGCATCTCATCAGAAAGCTACATTAGGGGCTTCCCTGGTGGCGCAGTGGTTGAGAGTTCGCCTGCCGATGCAGGGGACATGGGTTTGTAGCCCGGTCCGGGAAGATCCCACATACCGCGGAGCAGCTGGGCCCGTGAGCCATGGCCACTGAGCCTGTGCGTCCGGAGCCTGTGCTCCGCAACGGGAGAGGCCACAACACTGAGAGGCCCGCGTACCGCAAAAAAAAAAAAAAAGAAAGAAAGAAAGAAAGCTACATTAATCTCATGTTCATAAACTATGTAAAATGAACATCCCCAAAAGTAACCTCAAAAGTTGGGGAGGGAGAACCAATGTGTTTAATTTATGTTGGATGAATGAATTTGTATTTTTTTCTCTGTAGATTTTCACAGAAGTATTATCGTATTAATTTTCCAGCAATTTTTATTCCATTTTACAACACAGACGCTGCTTTCTGCCCACGATTTTAATGCCAAGACAGCTGAAAAGGACTTTGGATTGTACCTTTTTGTATTAGTCTTGACTTTTCTTTAAATTCTATTTTCAGGCTGACTTCACACGATGAGAATAGCATGAAATACATGGGTTTAGTTTACATATCTTATAGGAAATTGTAGTCGGACAATTCTGGAGGGAGGGGGAATTCACCTTCCTTGAATTCCAAAAAACTTGATCACGGTAGGAAAGCCGTTTGACAGTTTTTCTTCTAAGCACAAGTGCACGTTAAACTAGATTTCCAAATATATCCATTAAAAGGAAAAAAATTCTACCTCCCACAAAGAGTTTGCCTCGTCCTCTGGCCCTGGCTGACGGCAGGCGTTATTCATCCTTTCTAAATTAGCCAGTGCTCACATCTCCTCCATCTGCGTGGGTAGTGGTGGACTCAAGCGCTTGTTATCACTGCCTCTGATCATTGGATGGACAAACCTGAGTTTGTGTTTTCCTGACACTGTCCTTACTTCTTCCTGCCCATTTAATCACGCAGGCTCAACAGAGCCCAGGGAATGATCACTCCAGGCTGTAAGAGGGCTGCACCCCTGGGAAGCAGAGGTTTTGATCAGAGTGCCTCTCCATGATCTTCTGAACTCATCTGGGGAGATTTCTTACTTTACTCCAAAAGAAGGTTTCTTTTGTTCTTCTTTATTTTGTAAATGTTTTAGCCACGCAGCACAGTATGCAGGATCTTAGTTCCCTGACCAGGGATCACCAGAGATGGAACCCACGCCCCCTGCAGTGGAGGCACAGAGTCTTAACCACTGGACCACCAGGGAAGTCCCCCAAAGAAGGTTTTCATTGTCATAGGTTATCCATAGCAACTAATTACACCACGATAGCTGCTATTATTACTATACATTTAAAAAGTCAAGACACACACGATAAATTAAAAATGCATCCTCGAACTTGATTCCCTTTCCACTGCACCTGTTATTCTTTGTTATGCAAAACGTTATTAGTGCACATAGGCAATCATCAAAATATTTACACAGGGCAATGAAAACATGCTTAGAATGTAATAGTCTGCAAAACCCTGATTGCCTGATAACAGTTATTCCGGACTGCTACAATACATTACTTCAATCTCTAGACCACCCAGATAGCATGCTGAGGGATATTCCTTTAAATGATTAAAAATAACTAGACTTACAAGCACAAAGATCTTAAAAACAACAAGTCATCATTGCCAGGCTCTCTGACCTGACTCAGAAACACGTTATGTTTTCATAGTGGGCTTAAATAAAAGGTCTTAACTTGATGGTGGTTTTAAAATATAACACATTTAATTTGATGAAACCCATCTATTGGGTTGGTAGTGTTTTCGTTAGATGTTTATTGTTTAATATATATATATATATATACATATAGTTCTTCAATGATATAAGAAGGAAAAGAAAACATGCTAGAAGGTAAATGTCATGGGCAGTATTATACAGCATAAGGAATATCATCAATAATACTGTAATAATTTTGATGGGGACAGACGGTTATTAGACATTGTAGAGATCATTTTTTTGTGTATGTAACGTCAAATCACTTGTGGTACACGTGTAACTAACATAATATTGTATGTTAACTATAATATAGTTCAATAAAAAATAAAATTGTGTAAAAAATTTTAAAAATTAATAAAGAAAAACATGCAATGCCTGTCTTCCCACGTTCCACTTCCACAGTTACTCATCCTTACACACATGCACATACCACACTGCCACGCCTTGTAGACATATACATGTCTGTGTATGTGTACTAACATACGGTATATACGTAGATCGAGTTATTTGTTTTTACCAAGGTAAAATTATGATTTGCATATCATTCTGTAGTTACTCCCACTCCCTACAACATGGACATATTTCTAAGTCAATACCTCAAACTTCTTCAGTTTTTAAATAATGAATAACATTGGATTAATACACCATTGTTTAACTATTTAAAATATTTTATTTCCAATTTTTCCTATTGCAAACAACACTGCAATGAGCCAACTCATTTTTTACAGTGAATATACTTAGCTTAGGGGTACCCATATTCTTCGACTTTTCCTGTCCTAGATGGCAAATGTGAGTTTTTCAAGATCCCAGAGTTACTGTATTGATGCAAAGTGCTGGAAACCACTCTTTGAACTGCCACTGATGCAGTCAGGTCACAAATCAAACCAGGTTATCATTAGGAATCATACCTTCAGCTACTACTATCTCCCCTACACGAACACAGGAAGTCTATATTCTGTGTGTTAAGCTTGTCCCTCTCAAAATTGTTATCACTTGTTTCCACTGTATGATAAAATATTTTCTCTTGCAAGGGAAATCAAAACAAAAGCTTTAAATCAAATAAAAGAATTGCTACATTCATTCCCTCATTAGATCTGTATTCAGGGTGTGATGTAAGATCAGGAAATTAAGAACCCACCCAGCTAAGGTTACTGAATGATGGATTGGTTGGAAATTTCCAACAATGTAATGAATTTAGTCTAACAGTTTGAATGGTCCGCTTACAGACTGTAGTCAGGGAACATATATACAATGTAAACTGCCCAGCTCCTTAGAGAGAAATTAACAGTGTTGGTAAAGACAAGTACTATTAAAATCACAGCACTTCTTCATTCCACCATTTCTGGTTTACAAAGGGAACAGTAGATCCCTAAAAGTTAAGGGGTTGGGAGAAACTTGATAAAAATATTTTTCATTTCTAGTTCTATAGTCCATAAGTTTATTCCTAAGCAAGTACCACGTAACTTTTACAAGCAGAGAAACCGAGGTTGTGGTCTAATGGAATGAATCATTTGTCCGGTAAGAGTCGCCCATCTCAGGTTCCCAGGTCTGTGCTCAACACCCAGTCGTTGCCGCTTCTCCTGCCATGAACAACATCACCAGGATAACGCATCCTTTCACCGCCATCACCCAAATCCAGTGCTGTCCCTTGCAGTCCTCAGAATGTGTTATTCTCCATATAGCAGGCTGGCTTTTATCTTGCTAAATGAGAGATATCCTATATACCCTCTAGCATTTTTTTTTCTACATCTTTTCTGCTGCGAGATTGAAAGATTTTCCTGAAATGATATCCTGCTGATACAACCTTGACTGCTCCTTCCCCTGGAGAGGAAACAACAACTCAGAGAATCAAGCCATAGTTTTTTTTTGTTTGTTTTTGTTTTTGCGGTACGCGGGCCTCTCACCGTTGTGGCCTCTCCTGTTGCAGAGCACAGGCTCCGGACACGCAGGCTCAGCAGCCATGGCTCACGGGCCCAGCCGTTCCGCGGCATGTGGGATCTTCCCGGACTGAAGCACGAACCCGTGTCCCCGGCATCGGCAGGCGGACTCTCAACCACTGCAGTGAAATTAATCCAGCACTCTATATATCCTGTGTGGATTTTTGCAGGAAATATCTAATCCTAACTGACCCCATATTGTATCTGACCCAATCAATGCTTGCTTTTCAGAGAGAGGGGATAGCATTCTTTTGTCTGGGTGACTGGGTATTTAGGGGTGTGGCCTATGATAATATCCTGGGATATAACTGGTGGAGGGTAGGGATTGTGCTCTATGTACATTTTTAGTGATTAACTCATGAACGTTAAGACCATTAAACGAGGAGGAAGAACATTTTGCCGTTCCTTGCTTATTGCGTTAAGTGTACTTACAGGCACCTTGGCCATCAGGACGATGTGAGGAGTTGATGAGCCACTTAGGAAAGGGAAGGGCTCGGTACCTTCTCTCCGACCATCTCCCTCCTCTCTGACCTTCAGTTCCTGCTTTTATTCAGACACTAGCTTTCTCTGGTTCGGACAACTGCAGCTGCTCCCCGAACTTCCCATCACGGTCCCCCCAGTGCCATCCTGCTGCCAGAATGATCTACCGGAATGATTTCTCCAGAACGAAACCCTGACCACGTGACTCCCTCGCTGAATTCCTTTTCTGTGGTCCCTCTGCACACTGGGAAACCTGGTGCTCCTTAAGGGGACACTCAGGCCCTTTCTCACCTGGCCCTGACACCCCTCCAGCCTCGTTATGCTAAGTGCTTGCAGTTCTGTCGACACACCAAGCTGTTCTTCCTGCCTCCAGGCCAACCCCCCGGGCCACCACCATCATCACCTTGTCACACCCTACACCCAATCACCCAAGCCACCTGATGGACTCGAGGATAATGCTTTGCCTTCCTGTCACACAGCTCCCACCGCAGGTGGAATGACACTCCCAACTTTGTGTCCCCTGGGTACTCCCGTCGTGTACCTGTAATGTCCGTCTGTCCTGCTCAAAGGCACAGACTGAGTCTTGTTCACTCAGTGTGCACAGTCCCCAGCCCTGTGCCGGGAGCGTGGCGTGCACTGCTGGAGTGATTCCATGCTTCAGTGCCTGGTGGAGCTAGGATAGGAGCGCGGTCTCTTCCTTTTCTGGCATTCTCCCAGCCCAGCGTGGCTCCTCTGTCTTTGCCTCTGTTGCTGTTGGGGTGTCTGTGGTGGCGCTACAGATGCCCCAGCACTGCTGTCTGCACTGCCCCACTCGGCTGTACCAACGCGCTTGAGCTTGTGCTGTTCTTCTTAATCCTCTGGCATAGAGCTTCTCAACCTTGGACCCCTTAGCTCTGTTAGAATCACCTGCATTGCTTTTACAAAATACAGATGTCCAGGCCCCACCCCAGACCAGTTCATCAGAACTCTTGGGGGTAGAACTCAGGCATCAGCGTGCAGGGTTTTAAGCTCCCCACGGGATGCTAGTGCAGCCTGGATTGACTGCACTGTGGGCTTTACCTGCTTTACTTAATGACTCCAGGGAGCTATCATTTGCGGGGAGGGGGCGAAGAATCAGGATGACCCGTAGCACTACCCATGTAAGGAAGTGAAACACCAAAGAACTCCACAGTGAGTTCTGAGCAGACTCCAGAGAAAGTTTGGCTCAGAAGGTTTCCCGCCTCTGGGCTCCACTCAAAAGGTATGACCAGTGCGATCTCCAGATGGGGTTTGCTTTTGTCACAGCTTATAGCACATACTCTTGATGCCTGGCTACGGTGTGCAGATTTGAAAATATCCCCACACTTCAAATCACTGTTGACCCACTTCTAAAGAGAGTAGCTGAATTCCCCAGACATTACTTCTTAAATACTCTTCAGCATATGAGATGTGTTTGTTTGTTTACCATATAGCATTGCATCCAGCCATTTCACAAACTAGAATTTATGGAACAATTCCCAGCAGCCCCGCTCGACACAACAATGAAAGAGTTAGTATTAGGAACACTAACACCTTGGCTGCCCTCCTCCTTACCTGTTTCTACCTCTCCACTCCCACCTCCACCTCCATCCACAGCCTCGGCCTGTGCAACCCATTCTGGGGCCGTGGCCATTGCAGGGTCCACCTGCTGACGGCGGCATCTGGTGTGCCTGTGAGATGAGCGTCACCATGGGTTTAGAAGAGAAATCAAATGCCTCTCTGATGTGTCCTCAGAGAGTGAAAGGACCGCTGCAACAATGTTGTTTCGTTTACATTGTGAACAGAAAAATATCTCAAAACACAAAAAGTTTCCCGCTGTGGCTCTGATTTCAGTTTCCTGAGTGCAGCCCTTCATAGAGAAACAAAATGAAATGGTCTTACCGAGCAGCTGGTAGTCCATAGTAGTCCATAGTAGTCCACAAGTGCAGAGGGGGAAACACAAAATCTGGTCCCTGCTTCCCAAGGAATCACTGTTCAGTGAGCTGGAAAGAAAGACACACACAGAACACTATTTCAAATCCGACTAAGATAGTAAGTATAACAGAGGTTTAACAAAGTACAATAAACAACAGGGAAAAATGATTCATTTTGACTGGAAGAAAAATAGATTGATGCATTACTTCTATTTATATCTAAATATAGTTTCAGAACAAATAAAGATCTTTTAAGATGTTTCTCTTGTCTTTATATATTCCTTTCCTTTCCTAACACGTTCACAAATACACACGGCACCACAATCATGGATTTCTTGTGAAACAGCACCATTAAGAACTTGCTATATATGGGGATGATGGGAAGTTGGGGATTTGAAGCAGTTTAAAAATAATTACAAAAGGAACTTCAGCCTTGGGCATCTACAGATACCAGCACAGCAATCTGTTCTGAGAGGGAACATTTACCTGCATTTTCTGCCACCCCTGAAACATGTCTTCCTAAGGCACAAATCAGGATGTGTACTATCCTGCGTGTGAAATAAAATCAACATAAAGCTCGCTGAGAAATCACCTCTTGCAAGGTCAGCTATCTACACATATATTGTTTATAAAGCATTGGAAGTTGAAAATATTGTTCAGTTTTGTACAATGAGACCACACCCTTAAATGTCCACGTGTCACCAGCTCTCTTTTAGACAATACTTTGGAGTAGATGAAATGATTGCCACAGAGACGGATGCCAAGGGGCAACCTCCTGCTGTCTTGCATATTCAAATGACCAGTATAGCACAGCGTCAAAGTACAGAGGACACAGGGTCCACTGACATATTTGTCTCAATTTGTTGAAACCTTTAAAAATATTGAGTTATTTAATAACCAAGGAAATATAAGTATCCGTTCTTCTATAACAGGACAAGGATGCAAACAAAGAATGCAAGCCAGAGATAAGATATGCTGCCTGGGATGTGGACAGTGTGGGTAACCAAAGTGCTGAATGCTGTTCATCGTAATAATCAGAAAAGTTGAGTAAGCTGGGTGGCTCTTTTGCTCTAGCTAGACTGTATTTTTGAAAAGCCACTTTGCATCCATGCTAACCCTCCAAAGAATATGAGCCTATATATACGACTCTATATATATGGTCAAGGATTTAACAAAAACACTCTTGCCAAATGGAAATGAGTGCTAGGGCTCACTGCTCAGTTTGTAGAGAATCCACTAGTGACCCTTCTTCCTCTGTCTTCCCCCTATATGGTTATCATTCTTTTGTATTTCTCTGCTTATTAGTATTTATATTGTCAAGTTTACATCATTGTCTAAAAAGAAATTGAAAGGTAGCTATTGATTTTTCCCATGGGCAGAGATAATTAAAAGTTGCTTTGTTATTTTGCAACCTCAATAAAATTATAAATGGCTCTTAAGGCTTTGGAAGACAATTAATTTTGTTAATCATTATATGTTTTGTGTATTTGACATATTTCATTTTAAAAGACTAAATCATCAAGGCCTAGTGGGCAGAAACTGCATCTCTTAGAAAACACTGCTGCTCCTTATAACAAAATCACACCCTAAATACAGGTTAATACATCAGGATTTCTGAAATCTTGTCCTCATAAAGTGTATTTTCCCATTGAACCTTCCAAGGACTAGATGACCAGAGCAGGCCTCCAGCTCTAGCTTCAACTCAGCTATAGGAATGACAAGATGGCAACAAGAAAACAAAGGATTATACCTTTAGAGGCAGGACCTGTTTCTCAGCTGTTCTTTTGACTTTGCTCAAAATAGAGCTACTACGTTTGAATTTTCAGTATTTTTATTCACTCATTCATTGATTCACCCTGAGAGGGGGGACTAAAGGCTATTTGAAAAGTCCAGCTTTAAGGTCAGGGGAATGCTTTGGGATGTTTTTGATGACCAGAGTGAACGTGGATGGAGGGGAAGAAGATATTAATTCACAGGCCTCTGAAAAACTTTTTAAATGTATTTGGAACAACCAAGTCTTTAAAAAAAAAAAAACTTGTGAATTTAATAATTAACCCGCCTTGTTAGAGCCAGCACATTTGCTTTACACTGATTTATGGTGAAGTAAAACCATACCTGTGGTGTGTCTCATGTTCTCTCTCCAGCAGATCAGAGCCTTTTGTACCATCAGAATGAATGGTTTACTAGCAAACACTTAATAGAGCCTCAAAAGTTATTTCAATATTTTAAGTGATTATAGAAGTTTAAAACTGTTACATTTTCAGTTTTAGTAAAGCCTAGTAGAAATAGGCACAATATGATTACAAAGTTTTTTAAAGAAAAGTAATCTCTGATTATAATATGTTCCCAGCGGCAAATATGGCCGACTCTATGACATGGGATCCAGAAATGCCTTGTTATTAGAATTGGAGCCCTTTTCTAATACACTTAGAAAATTCAGGGGTTTTGTCAAGGCATGTGAGTAATGACCCCAGACTCTCTATGCACATTGATCAATGAGTCTCATCTTTGTCCATTTCTTGGTGGTGGCCACTACTTATCACTTTGGCTTGCCAATTATTAAAAAGGAGTGCCTTGTATCGCTCTGTACTATCTCATTTAAAACACACCCACAGCAATTTATTTATTGTTTTTCTATGTTTCACATGGAGATTTGAGAGTTATATGTTGAGTTATATACTAATAGGTGAGTCTTTAGACCGAGGCACCCTATCTTTGCTTTGGTCCACACTCAAATATTCGGTCATCTGACCATGTCCTGGGTGTGACTGGTAATAGTGAAGGAATCCATTGTAATCATGATGCTCAATATGGAGGAGACAGAGTGATGCTCTATGAAAACTGTCCCCTCTTCACCTTATCCAATCTCCCTCATCCCTTCGTTTACCCTTCACTCTGCTCGGATAGTATCCCTCCCTCTGCCTAGGAGAGAGCTAAACGGTGAGGCCGTGACTTTGTCTGAAATGTGGTACCTGATCACTCCCGTAGTTCTCTCCCACTCCAAGTTTCATAGAAAGAGGACTTGGAGTTTCTCCTTTCCCTTCTTCAACCTCAGGGCCTTCTCAACCAAGAATGAATACAAAATGGGCTCATTTAAAGCCTACCACAGTTTATTATGTTGATATACCGAGAAAGACCGAATAAAAGTTGGGGCTGGAAGTTAATGTATTACAGTGCATTTTCTAGTATCTCAAACATTTCCTCCCAGTCCATAACCTTTCCCCAAAACCACCTACCATAGCTCTAGTATTTGTGGTTTCAATGTATATATCTATCCTTATCTCTTGCAGGCATTTTTGGTCAGGAATTTAAATCTCAAGTAAAGTTTTCTATCTTTGGAGGAGCAACTTGTCACGTAATAAAGGGTCTCTCCAAGTTTTCAACCCATAATCCTGGAAGGAATTTCAGTAAACATTTATGTAACTAGAGAAATATACCAAATATGAGGTATATCTCCTTAAGTGGAAGAAATCTGACTTGCCTTTCAGAGCCTTCGGATAAGCAGAGTTTACTTAAGTGGAAAGAATTTGTATGTTTGGCCCAATTGATAAAGAAACCCTGGAATGTTCCTAAATCCCTAAGTGACTTGGCTCCGTTGAGTTGTCTGATTGGATCTATTCAGTCTATAAACTGAGAACTACCTGGTGCTGATTCTTACTCTACTTTCTTTTGTTGTTGCCATCGCTTGTCCTCTCTCTCTCTCTCTCTCTCTCTCTCTCTCTCTCCTCTCTGTCTCAGATGCTTCCTCAAGTTTTTTTGTTTTTTTTTTTTCATAAAAAACAGAAATTTATTTCTCACAGTTCTAGAGGCTGGAAGTCCAAGATCAAGATGCCAGCAGATTAGGTGTCTGGTGAGAGAGAGCCTGCTTCCTGGTTCATAGGTGGCTGTCTTTTTGCAGTTTCCTCAATGATGGAAGGGGCAAGGGAACTTGCTGGGGTCTCTTTTATAAGAGCACTAGTCCCATTCATGAGGACTCCACCCTCATGACCTAATCATCTCCCAAAGGCCCCCATCCCCATCTCCAAACACTGTCACATTGGGGGTTAGGTTTCAACATAAAAATTTAGCAGAGATATAAACTTTCAGTTTTATTTTTCCTAAAAATTCAATCAGTGCTGGAACCCAGAGTTTAAGACATGTAATATAGCACCTTTGCCATACAGAGCTCTATGTAACGTCCAAGTTGAGGAGGTAACCATGGTGATGTCTTGGATTAACAAAACAATCACACGCGAAGAGGTTCAAGCAGCAGAGTTATATAACTGTGTGTCTAGAGGCAGACTTCTATTACTGAAGCTCTACTTAGATCAAGGGATGAGGTTCAAGGTTCCCGTTACTTAACTATATGTCCCTTAGGTACAAAATACTAGTGACTCACTTCACTTCCATGGTGATATTGTATATGCTTGGCAGAAACTGGCATAGAACATGGCTAATTCTAAGAGTGTAACCAATCAACAGTGGAGAATGCTGTGTCTAAAAAACACCACTACCTTCTCCTGCTTCTCTGATATACAATACACCCTGACTTTGGAGAAACATATCATCTCAAAGTGCCCCCAACTTTGACTTTGCTCCACTGATGCAGCAAGTGCCAAGGACCCGTTTATCCCAGGTCAACCCTGCTGGGAAGGTCTGGTCTCCCTGATCTTTAGCCAAGAGCAAGGAGTTCAGCCTGTTTGTTGAGAATGATCGTAACTCATGTAAAATCAGAACAGTATTCCTCGAAGCAAACCCACCATTGCCCTGCCTCCACATGTTAAGAAGGCCACTTCTTAACATGTAGAGAAATGAAATGTAAATGATCAAAAATAACTCTACGTGAAAGCCCCTTTCTTAATCCGTGTGCATCTTCAGACTGCCCTCTGTGATTTTTTTCTTCTCCTTCAAGGCTGCTTTTGCTGTATATGTCGTCCCATTTCACTAGGATATGGGTGTTCCACATAAGTTTGCCTCAAAGCCCTTCCCCACACATGCCCAGCATAAGCCCACAATAAGACTAAGAGTCAAGTAGCTAATAGAGGGAGGAGTAAATTCGGGGTATGGTTAACTCTGGGTGTCTTTGTCTG